TTGTTTATTACATAATATTATATTGAGAAGTAAATATATTACAAACTCTTACTGAAAAACAACACCATGTTAAACATGTTAAAAATATACCCCATTCAATCTTATTCAGAGATAATAAATTATTATGCAGAAATTGAAAAAACAAGTCAACAAAAGAAATTGTATGACTAAATCTATAATTCAATACTGGGTACAATACACCCCTGGTTATAGCCAACATTAACTGTTTGTTAAACAAGTGGTCACCATGAGGCTCCCTGACAACAGCAAAGTTTAAGGTAGCCTACTCAACAGTAATCTTTCTACTTTATGCAAACCAATTTGATTACAAGGGCAGCACAATTCGTTTATAGACAAATAGAAAATGAAATCATACAAGACCTCATCAATATACCAAGTGATGGTCGCAGTCCGGTGTGTCGGGGCTATAAGCCTACTATTTTATATTGAAATCTGATCAAAAATGTAGTGTATACAGTTTACAGGCTAATTTTAACTTAGTCCGAAACATCTCTCTTTTCAAGCCTCTGATAGATATTTTGAGAGTTTTCGGCTGGCGTAGAGACGACAGGTGTTTTCGGTCGAGTCAAAACTTTAAAAGAATTCAACTTAACTTCACCAATATCCAATGCGCCCTTGATCTCACCAACATGCAAAACATTTTTCTTAAAAATCGGATCAAACCCTCAGGCGAGTGAAGCCAATGTGGACGGACGGCTGGAAGGAAGTGGTGATAATAAAATACGTGAATATTAAAATTTGGGTGTATAACAACATATTAGAAAGAATCCTAAAAATTATTGTTAAATATTTTGATAGACTAATATAATTTTAATATCAATTTGACTTCTGTATAGTATTATTATTATCAACCAATACTGTTAGTGAACACGACAAATTCTAGAGTGAAGCCTTGCTGCTTTTTTGGAAAGGTCAGGGGTGACTATAATATACTTCATATTATGCTGTGTATGTATCAAACATTTTAGTAAGCAATTTTATTTTTGTACACCATGACTATTATTCAAAATGTTAATAACAAACCATTTATTTTCTCTGGGCTCTCATGATAGGTGACAATCGGGCAAAATTGTTGGCCAAGTCTATGTGGACGGACAGACATTTGGGGGTCAGGGGTGAATATAATATACAATCATATTGTTCAAATAAATCAAAACATATTAGTAATCAATATGTGCAAGCCCTGACAACTATTATTCAACATGTTAATAGTTTAATATGATTTTAATATTATACTAGAGTTGTGAACAGCACTGAGCGTGGCCCGTGATACTTTGCCTGATAGCTGTAAGACTTTTTTGAACTTCAAACCCTCTCAAGCCCGGTGTTGACTCGACCACTTTTAGTAAAGAGCCAAGCTAAATGAAATATTTTGTGAAAGGGTAAATTCAATCTTGTATCAATATAACTTATCGTATGGTTATTTTAATCGCTTCATGGTAGCTATAATATACAGGTATGTGTGAAATGCCTAACTAGCACCAAGTTCCGAATGTATATACCAAACGACTTGTAATTGTCTATAAGCGCAATAAAAACCTTAGTAATTTTCTGGTCCGTGGTAGACTCGATCCCATTGAATCCAACAATACTTGACCCCCCCTCTCTATTTTCTAGCTCATTAAGTATAATATATTCTAATCCTTATATATAGATGTTTATATTTTCAGAACCTATAAATACTCTTTTCTTTTAGAACTGGTAACAAGAAAACTTTCATATTATAGACTTTTGTTTATTTAGATTACTCGTGCAGATAGAGTTCTATTAATGGTACAGAAAAAATTCGAACAGGTTAATGTATCAAAAATTCACTACTCTATATGAGTGTATGTTTAATTATTGTAAGTGAA